GGGTTGGGAGGAACAACGGCAGCTTTTTGCAGTGACTGGCCCGAATCTGAGTCTTAAAGCGACATACCTAACACGACGTATAACCAGTGTTAAATCTTCTCTTTACGTGTTGTCAATTCAATTTATAGATACTAGTTAGATACGATTTTGGTTGTTAATTATAAAGTTTTGTCTGTGGACAATGCAGCTTCTAAAAAAAAAAAAAAAAACAAAGCTCTTGTTTGCACTTTCATATCGTTTTGCTTCTTTCCAACTAGCATACCAATCATTCCACGGGAGTATATAGAGTCCAATAGTCTCGCGTAAATCAAAATCCAATCTGTTCTCTTCAATTCTTAACATCTCTCTCTACTCACTCTTCTCCGAAAACTAAAAGTTATTGACGATATCGACTTCATGGACAACATGGACAACATGGACGACGTGAATCACTTTGAAGTCCTTATTTTAGCCATGCTCAACGCGCTCAATGACGAAGAAAATTATCTCGTTCCTGTAGAGTCACGGAACCTAGACTCATATCAAGCAAGAATTGCACATAATGTTATTCTTAGATCTAAGTCCATTAGATCTAAGTCTAACGATCCCAACCCTGGGTTGAGCATGAACCTATTCTTCTTTGCCGCAATACATGTCTGCCAAAACTTGATTAGTTCTCATTCATTTGCCGACAACCATTGCCGGATCATGGCTATCGCTTGTGATATGTTCTACCGCCTAGACGGAAGCGTCAAGGTATGGAAAACTACCTAAGGAAAACATGCACGATATAGCACGATACTAACGAGATACTATGATTCATAGGACCGATGGGGTCCGCCTCTGTTACCCGTCCGCTGTACCGAGATTTGGCAGCTCAGTAAGAAAATGTTCACCCCTTACTTAAGACCTGGGACTAATGACAATTAAGTTCCCAGTGAGAGAAGTGAAAAAGCACAGCTATTCCTCCTCGACTGGGAGAAACAAAATTCATTTCTCTCACATCTTGTGAGCCGTGGATATCGCAAGGGCCTATACCTGGGCTTGTGGGAAATCGGGAGAGCACTGGAACACCCTATAGAAGAAGGGTGTACTCAATTAATGCGCTGCCGAGTGCGGGTAGCCGTGGAGTGGATAATGAACTGCGGCGACCTTCTGTTGGCGGCAATGAGCGATCAGAAGGACAGCCCCAACAAAGCCATGCGACCAGGCCCGATCTACGGGGAAGGACTCCCTTATCTAAGCCCGGATCGGTGGGAATTTTGGAAGAAGCGGCTTGCCGAGTTTCAAGTGAAATTTCACTTGCACGACGAGACTAGAGAGCGTGTGGCCGCTGTTTTGGAACTGATGCAGGCGCCGTCCGAATGCGAGAAGCGCAACTCATCGCTGGAACGTGCTATCAAGGAACAACTGGAAATTGTTGCTACAAAGGAGCGACCCAAGGCAACATAATTGATAGCGCGAAAACACGCCACCGCTGAAGGACTGTCTGCCGCTCGTCGAGACCAAGGTTGTCGAACTCTGGTAGACGTATGCAGTCAGTTACCCTGTTCCTCAAGTGCCATTCATAGCTCACGTTGCCCGTAGCACACTAGAACCCCCAATTAGCAGCTTGTGTTTCCTATCCGGCAAGGTTATTTAAATAAACCGCTGATATTACTAACTGTCACTTTCTATGTTGTAGTTGCAAGCTCGTGTTGGGTTGCAGATACGAGCCGGAACATCAAGTATCTAGATTATTTAGTATCAGAAATTAAACCATTTACATGGCAACCCCATACATATAAAACGGAGATCCACTACATTTTACCACACCCTATCTACGATATCCAACCGAAAACCAAACGTCCATGCATATCAGCTTATCAAACATCTCCAAACTGTCAACAACCTGCGACTGGCTGTCTCGTCAACGATTTCACATGGCCCCTACCATCGGTGCAGCATAACGCTACTGTTCGTAAGCTGATTCTCCACTTCCGTGTTGGATACAAATAGTACTTGGAGGAATCTGAAAAGGCATTGGCATGTCAATATAGTTAATGGCTGCGACGTTAATCCTGGTACAGTATTTCCACGACATGCAGAAGTTGGTGAGTTCCCAATCACTTCTTAAACAGGTGCATGTAGCTATTAACAAATTATGAAGGGTTGCATGGCACACTCTAAGAGTTCGGGTTGTATTCTGGTAGGTAGGTAGTGGTAGATCTAGTAGTGGGTTAGGCAGGTAGTATCAATTGTCTCACAGCGCAGCCCACCGGCATACCCAATCTGCCTCAAAACAAGATCTTGTGTCTCCCGCTCAGCGAAGTTGCAGTCGTGACAACAGGACACACTGATAATAAATGGTGTTCTACATGTGAACATTGTAGCTGCGGTCGCTTTTAGTTGCCGGTGGAGGATGACGTCGCGACCCCGTTCTTGGCGCTGGCCAGGCCAGGCTCGCGCTAGTGCACCTAGGTAGGTACCATTCCCCTGCTGTATTGGCCCTACTGATGCTGTCCGTGCGTCCCCAGAGGAGAAGGTTAGGCGCGTCCCTCAGCTTGGCACCGCCGTAGGTAATCCCGGGCGCTAGACTGCAGCTCTGTCCCATGCTCAAGTTTGCTGTAGGATTGGGATTAGGTGGGACTTAGGTACCGCGCAGCTGCAACTCCACCACATAACAATTCCCATCTTGCCCTCGTTGGTGTCAAGCTCACGCCTCAGACGATTCCACCCTTGTTGGGCGCCTATCGACCCGTTGATTTCGATACCCTACGCTCTTCGACATTGCACCACGGGCCAGTTCGCGCGGTCCTCACCGGTCCTTCTTGTCGGATATGCTGCTGACCTCCCCTCTTGCATGAGCACACGGCATCCGCCACTTGTCATCAGACTAGCCTCCACCGCCAACGCCCGACAAACGTTCAGCCATGAATCGAGGGGGCACGGGTTCGTCGCGCCGGACGGGTTCCATGGCCAGTCGCCCTGTTGTCGATGAGGACGAGGCCCGAAGTTTCGCCCTGCGATCAGCATACCTGCATTACCTCTTGCAGCCCAAGGCCAAAAGGAAACAGTATGTCGCCGCATCGAAACCGACCGCTCGATCGCAAACAAGTGTTGGGCAGCTTGTCCAAGAGTATGGTTCTGGGAGTGCGTCTAGCTTGAAGTTGCCTCATAGCTTTGCAAATCCTCTGATCGAAAGGGTGGGCGGTGTCCTTCGAGGGAGCGAACGCTTACCCGGCTTCAACGACGCGGCAGTCAAGAGGAGTTTCGCCGAGGCCTATATGGCATTTTCAGAAAAGAACTTCCGCAAGACGATTGATAAGGAGAGAAAATTTGAGCCCCTGGTGCTCATCTTCTACTCCCAAGCTACCAAAGCAGCACAGAAGGGGCGTGCACCTGACGACGATTCATGGAAGCTACTTCCCGACCGCCATCTGGCGCTCTTCGTTAGATTAGCCGTGCAGGTTCTGAAAGATCAAGGTCATGATCGCGATCGCCCAGAGCTTTTGGCGAGACTCAAAACTCTTGAGAATAAGCTGTTGACGAATGACCAGGATCTGGTGGGGGGCGGTTCAGATGGCGGTGGCACCACTGTCGAAGTCGTCGTTCCCTTGAGTTATGATGTCAAGGATATGCACCTTGTGCAAGTGGTTGCGCACATGTTCGGGCTCGGCATGTCTCAGGCACAGGCCGAAATAGATGCGAACCGCAAGGTATGGACCGAGGAAGCGGCTTTGAAGGATCTAAAAGCCTACCAGCTGCGCTTGAGTTCCAATCTCGGCGGCACTCTTTCTCCCCAGGATTTTGATCTTGACGAGTCTTATGATGAGTGGAAGAAGTCAGAGGCCCCCCATCTATCCCAAATGATGCTGGATATTCTGACTGCTAAGCCCACTTTGGCCAAGACCTCGACTGCTCCGGTGTCTGGTCGACCACAATCCGTATATGGAATTGATCATTCCCACGATTCTTCCCATGATGACTCCGCCTTGAGCCTCGCGTCTCTGAACATCGGGGACTCCACTAGCATTCGGACCGTGGATGATGCCATTTACACCTTCATCCCACCTAATCCGAGAGCCTTTTTCAAGTATATTCTACAGCAGGCCATGTCTTTTGACGTACTCCACGCAGACCCCGAGGCAGACTATCAACCACTTTCGAAACAATCCATAGAGCTTTTGACTGAGTTGTGTGTAAGATGGCGTATCCCGCAGTCTTCTCGCCTGATTGCCCTTTTGGAAGTAGCTGTGCGCAAATACCGGGAGCAGGAGCTTGGCGCTGAGGAGTTGGACGCTGTTTTTGATTTCATAAAGGGTCCCCAGCCAGAGCTAAAGAAGGTGCCCCATCTCCATCACCATTCGACTCCATTGTCAGAAATCGACCCCAGCCGATGGACACTTCAAGACCTCGCCGCCTACCGCCGTACTTTGCACACGGTCTATGAGTCTCTCCTGATCGAGCTTTATAACCTTCTAGAAAGATGCTACGACACAAAGGCTCCTAACATCGCCCCCGTCATGTTCATTCTTGAAAACCATCTAGCTAGCGACCCTTCATTTAGCCCCAACCCAGAGTCTGAGCAGAAATTTGCTGAGCAGCTCACCCAAACCCTCCGCCAGAGAGCAATGGATGTCTATCGTGAATACATGGAGAAGGAGCTCCCAGCGCAAAAGGAGAACTGGGACTTTGCCCATGTTGTGAAGTTAGGCAAAACTGTCACCAAGCTCTGCGAGAGGATAAGAAAGCGATATAGAAAGATGCCCGAAATTATGGGTGTAAACTCCCTCGCTATCTTGGTCCAGGAAGTTTTCCCCAGCTTTGAAGAAGACGCCAACGCCATCATCATTTCCATTATGCAGCAGGTCCACGACGAGGGCTTGGAGATTGGAATGGAAGATGGCTTTGAGCTATACAAGGAACTGGTAGAGCTTCGAAACATCCACCGCGAATCACTCCCCCCCGACCAGCCCTTTGCCTTTGACATTGAGTATCTGCTCGTTGGCTTCGTGTGGCGCTGGATTGATAACGCAGAATCAAAAGTAGAGACTTTTGTTGAGGAAGCCATTAAACAGGATCAGTTCCAGGTTCGTACCGAGCACCCAGATAACATCCCAGATGATTCAGAACGGCACAGTGTTTCGATCATTGATCTTTTCATGCTCTTCAACCAAAGTCTTAACCAGATTCTGTCCTTGGAATGGGGCAATGACGAGGATCATGCCAGGTTCATGACTGCTCTGGGAAAGACATTCTCTGCAGGACTTGGTAGGTACTGCGAGATCGTGGACCAGCGATTCAATCATGAGATGGATCGTCCCTCCGCTGAGGAGCTGGCTGCCCAGAACAAGTCCACACAGGAGAAATGGATGCAGTATGCCAAGGATGCCTGGAACAACAAGGAAAAAGCCGAGCCCTTCCAATTCTACCCCGAGGTGAGTGAGAGAACACCATACATTAACTGCAAGCCCTCCCGTAGCTTTTAATTTTATGCTGACTTCCCATCTCTTGGTCCGATATAGTCCTTTGTCAAGCTCAATAACATCGAGTATGCAATGCAAGAATTGGATAAGCTAGAAAAGACGATGAATGTCGACGCTTGTGCGGCCCTAATAGGGAAGGTGGAAAAACCGAAGAAATCAAGCAAGTACACATTTACTATCAAGGTCATAGAGGCAGAAGATCTTAAGGCTTGCGATGCGAATGGGTATAGTGACCCCTATGTCGTATTCGGAGACGAGTATCAGAAGCGCCTTTACAAGACTCGCATCATTCCCGCGAATCTCAACCCACGCTGGGATGAATCTTTCGATGTCACTGTGCAAGGGCCGGTAAACGTAATTGCAACAATCTGGGATTACGACACGTTCGGTGACCACGACTACGTCGGTAGGACGTCTATCAAGCTCGACCCTGTCCACTTCAGCGATTATCTCCCCAGAGAATTCTGGCTGGACCTTGACTCGCAGGGCCGTCTGCTCATCCGAGTGAGTATGGAGGGAGAACGTGACGACATTCAGTTCCACTTCGGCAAGGCGTTCAGACATCTGAAGCGAACCGAAAGGGACATGGTCAGGAAAATCACAGACAAGGTCAGCCCCCCTCACGTCAACTAATCTTACTCTATCGCATTTACTAAAACCACGTAAACAGATGACTGCTCAGATAGGTTTGACTCTGTCTCACAACACCTTGCGTGCCCTTCTCGGCACAAACGGTATCGCGGCCTCAGTGACCGGTCTCTGGAGGAAACGCTCCTCAACTGTCACCGCACTTCAACCAACCCAAGTTGATGCCGTGCTAGAGCCGCTATTGGACTATTTTAATGACAACTTTGCCATCATGAAACAGACGCTGACAGATGCAACCATGCTTGCGGTCATGCAACGTCTTTGGAAGGAAACACTGATGGCTGTCGAATCGCTCCTTGTTCCCCCACTATCAGAGAAGCCTTCTACAGAGAAGCCGTTGACACGGCAAGAGCTCGATGTGGTGTATCGCTGGCTCGATACACTGTTCAAGTTCTTCAACTCCAAAGATGAGGAGTCAGGCGAGCAACTGGGAGTTCCCGCCGAGGTCCTCAAGTCGCCTAAGTGGCACGAACTAGCGTCGTTGAACTTCTTTTATTTCGAAAGCACACCCAGTCTGATCCGCGAATCGGAACGCATGGCAGCCGCGACCGCCCAGCGCGCCCAACAGGCTCTTCTACAGCAGGGTTCGTCGAACCGTCTAGCACCACCCTCAGCGCTCGGAGCATCGGTGGGAGGCGCCGGAGCGTTTGCCAGCATGGGCACCATCCGTCGCGGGAAGAGTGTCATGATGAGCCGCAACCTGGGAACGATGCGGAAGGCCAAGGAGGCAAAGAGGCGGGAGGCCCAGGCGGATCCAAGCGATGATATGATCCTGCGCATTCTCCGCATGCGCCCAGAAGCGGCCGGGTACCTCAAAGAGCGTCACAGGCAGAAGGAGAGGGCGGCTGCCACAGCGGCCGCTGCTCTCATCGTCAAGAACAGTGTAAGTCAAGGGTTTGGTGGTGGGCAGTTTGGGAGAAACAGCCTACTACCCAGGCGGTAGGCGTAGCAGGACACATAATTTTCATGTTTTTAACTCGTTATCCGTCCCCCTTTTATCCTCCGGTTCTCCTCTACTATTATGTCTTTGGGCGAATTATTTACTACTATTTATGTTTTTGCAGAACTTCCTTGGATGGGTGGGTGGGTGGATGGATGAAATGGCATCAGATACCCTCATTTGTGAAGCCAGTTCATGATTAGCCTTCTTTTCAAGCAAGAAATACCAAATTTATCAAATGAAAGCCGCATCGTGTCACTCGTGAGATGTGTCCTCGCCTCACTAAACGAAGGCGCATGGAATGAGGTGCATGGGATGAAGAGGAGAAGGGGGGGTTTTTGCGACCCCCGAACACATGCAGATCGCGGAGATCAATACTGTAACGGCAAACCGGGGGCCTCTCTTTTTATCATATCAGAAACCCCCTTCCTGGTATGGGCCCCGCGAGGAGGGTACATGAGCGAGGAGGGTACATGAGAAGGGCTGATCAAGGGCTCGCAGTGCTAAGCGAGAGCAGGAGCGTAACCTGCATGTATAACAGCGTCTCTATGCAGAAAACGGCCTGCCACCTCTTTTATGCCCCCCTCCAAATGGAACTCACTTCGCTGGAGTGGCGCATCGCTACTGGGTAGGCTCAACCTTCTGAGGGGGGCGGCTAACATGGCATCACATCTGCTGAGGAATCTGGCAGGCCACCCATAAACTGTGGGTGGGGAAGGGTCAGCTGTCGTCCTCCCGACCCCTGTACACACGCCAGCCGCGGAGGAGAGAGACTGGGTCTGGATTTTTTTTTTTATACGAACATGGAGGAAGTCCGAGGGCGGCGGCGGGAATACCGTTTGCGCGTTGCCTTTTGCCCCGGCAGCGCGACCCGATGCTGTGCTTTGTCGGGAGAGCCGAAGACGGCGGGAATCATGTATGGATTGTACATATTGTATAAGGGATCTATAAAATAAAAAAGGAAAAGATATTTTGAGGATTTTGCTTCCCACTATTATTATGTCATCGGGATTAATTCAGGGTCCAGCGTGGAAGGCTGGTGCCAGGTGGGTTCGGGGTGGGTAGGCGTCGGTGGTGTGCGCTACATAGTAGTTGGGGATGGCCAAATCGCATTGAGTAAACAGGTCAGAACGAACAAACCAGGAAAACAGTAATTTAATAGGGAGTCGAAGAGGTGTGGATTAGAGAGATCTTAGGCGGATGCGTGTAGATGAGGAGAATGGCGATGAGATGAACTGCCAGATAGGTTAGCCACGGATCTCAACAACTCGGATTGGGCAAGAAAAAAAAGGGGAGCAAAGTGGCGAAACATTTGGGCGGCCGCGATCGTCCAGATAACTCTGCCCCGAGATGCCATTCCGTCGATTTACCATTGAACAAAATCTCCAGTGGTCAGGCAGCGGAGCAGCACCGCAACACCGCCTGCTTGTGCGCCACCAGCCCACTCGTGATTGTGGAACATGCGCTAGCACATGACTTAGGTAGGTATCGAAATCAGATGCCAAGACCGCTCAGGGTGGGACTGCGAGGTGATTGGCCGGGGTGGGCAGGTATGACGTCGACGGCTGGGTCTGCTCATTGGAGGCGTCTTCCCCTGAGCCACCAGACGTCCAGCCCGTCGTGGGACCTCCGCGGCACACAGTGCCTTCGCCCAATGGCCCACGGACGGACGGTAATGGCGTTGCAGCTACGGAGCACACATCAAAGTTTTTGGGGCGTCAATTGCCCTTTTGAGGCATGAAACTCGACCCATGGCCGAATGCAGCGAGCATCCTTATCACTTGAGATGGGGCAGGGGACCTTTTGCGGATATCAGCACATGGCGTTGCCAGTAGCGAGCTCTGTGCTTTAAACCCAATCTGCTGCTCTGCTCCTCTAGGAGAGTGTCGGTGTGGTGTTACTTCTGGAGTGGTACGACCATGCGTGCTGTATGAGTGCTTGTTCAGAATAAAGCCCTCTCTTCCTTATGCTTATATCGCAACCCAGTGAGGAGGAGGGGTTACGAAGGTAGTGTTGATGAGCTCTGGTCGCGGGCTGGGCATGGGTTTGGATTACCACAGCTTCGGGGCTCATGAAACAGTAGGTTGCACACCCTGGCAGCTCGAGGGTAGATCACTGTTTGATTCATTCTCCCGGCCATGTGAAAGGAAGATGGAGGGGCCAGTTCCGTGGATACATCATTGGGCCGATATTAGCGTGATCAACATAGGCCTAGCATGTGTTTGTGGCTGACCCTGAATCTTAAAAGGGAAGAAGAGAAAAAAAATATTAAGTTTTGTTTGAAACAGGGGCAGCATGTAAGAAAAGAAAAGAGGAAGGAATATCCAACCCTGTATGCTTCTTTACAACAATATTGCAATTACGTACCGCCCAGAATAAGCCCAGTGGAGGGCAGCCAAGGAGGAAGGGATATATCTAGGGAGGAGAAGATAAGGGAGAGAGCAAGTCCAAGCCCAAGAAAAGGGGTTGCCAGTAACGTGGGTGCGGTTGAACAAAACCAGAAAGGTACACTCATGTTTGCCTTTTTATTTTCGAGGCAGATAGCCCGCCTAACGTAGCTTCGTTATACCTACTAGAGGATTAAGAGGATGTCTAGAACTGATCTGCCATGGAGATGTTCGCTAGACAGCTCAAAGCCAGAGAGGCATTTGGCGGCAACACCACGAGTGACGTATACCTACAGTGCGCACATAGTATTCGCACCTTTGCACTCCAGATTCGGCCTATAGCAGGCGAGAGGCTGTCGCTGCAATGGCGCTGAAAGGCAAGGGTCCCCCTATCTTGGCGGGTCAGGCTGGTCCGCCCTCTGCCCTCCTTCTGCACTGTGCGTCTGGCTTGCCGTTCCCCCACATCTCTCGCGCTAGTCGCCTTGCCGTGCACGGGCCACCGCTCTGGCTCCTCGTTCTACAACTCCTCACCGGTGTAATAATCGACGCGGAGAGGAGGGACACAATGGGTATCCTGGGGGATGGATGGGGGGGCGCGCGCTGTGCGTATAGCCGGCTCGAAACATGACCGAGAATGTGTCACGTGGGCCCGAATTGGTCGAGGATTTGTGGAGGGGATTCGCGATGAGGAGAATTTGCTGGAGCTCCTGACTGGCTGCCCGCCCCATGTTGTTTGCTCTCACTTGCAGCTTGGATTTGCCTGTCGGCGCGCCAAGGTTGGTGAAATATGACCATGGCCCATCCTATTACGGTACATTGCAGGTACACTTGCATTGGATACTGCTCCCCTCTTGAAGCAGCTGGCCGTTCAGGTCCGTGGTCCCACCATGTTGAATGCTACCAAACCTACCACTCAGGAAATCGATCGATCCCGTTGTACTGCGCTATATCATTAGGTTTCGTCCAGGGAATGCATGCCCGACTCTGGTGCCATCCCACGAGCCAGCCACTGTTCGACTCCGTCAAAGGACCCGGGGCTTCACATTGTGCCATCGCACAGACAGACTAAGGCGAGATCTACAAGTCTGTCTTCGTAGGGTGCGTCGGCTAGGCCACTGACCGAAATTAACGGTGCGCCTCCATAGCATGTACTTAAACCAGTACATGCTGGTACCGCCCTGCACCTGGGCAAGCATGAGGCACCACCCAAAGGCAAATCTTGGCACGGTTGGCGCGCGGACAGGTCTGAAGATGCAGCATGGGGACAGAAGATGTAGTCCAATGGCAAATCGTCGCCTGCCAGAACTCCCAGAAATGCACTTGGCAATGGATGTCTGTAGCTGCCCTCGCAGGCACCATGTCCACACGACGTGGAAAGCAGGTAGTATCTGCTCGGTAGTAGCCGTAGGAAATGCTCCTTTTAGGAGGTGATGAGGGACTGGGCTTGTTGCCTCCCTTTGGTCAGATAAACGGGGGGACGACATGCCGGCCAGGTAGCGTGTACCTCCCAGCCAATCTGAGGTACATGGGTGCCTCCATCTCACCTTGTCGAGCGCACCGGAGAGAAGCGCCCTACTGCCACCAGACTGGCCAGCCCCAGGTACTACGGCCAGGTAGCGCGGTCCATTTGCTGGCGTGTACCCTGTACGAGCACAACACAGGTACCCATCTACCCGCCCATCTGCCCCATCTAGCCCTCCCATCACATTTGGCCGCCGCATTCAACCCGTCCTACTCTTCGCCGTTACGACCACTCCTCTTTATCATTCGCCCTTCTTCACGTCTGGCTGGCTGCCTGGTAATTCTGTTTCAGCTCCTCTTTTTGCAGAGACGGCCACGGGGAAGCCCGATCCTCTCCTACGTATCCTATATCCCTGCCCACCTAAGAGACTAGTAGCTTGCGATTATCCAGTCCGTCTAACCTAGTTGGTATGTACTGTGCTCATTTGCTCTCTGCCTACGACCCAGCCCGCGACTCACCACATCAGCTTTTTCCTCTGAACTCATTCTGGCGACAGAAGCATGATTCCTACTCTTTATTGATTCTAGACGATCATCGAGTTGACCCGGCCCGTCGTCGCTGCACGGTTGGCCCTGTCCTCGACATCCTCCCGCCACCTCTACTCTGTATCAATTCCACACTGGATCCCTACCTAGAGCCTCGCGACAGAAACCTACACAATCAATACTTCAACCACAGTCCCCCCCCTTCGACCCTAGGCGCCAGCGCCTACCGACCTTCCCAACATGGTCGACGACGCTGCCCTCATCGCGGCAGCGCAGATTATCGCTACAATCGCCGCCGAGCCCAAGACTCCTCTATCAGTCCCTGCCACCCTGACGAATAAGATACAACTACCGGGCCACGACACACACGCAAAGCGCAATCTCGAGATTGAACTCCAGAAGCTTGCACTAAGGGTCAGCCACCTCGAGAACAGGGCAACCCCGACCATTACCTTCCCCGAGACACCAAATGAAGGTACCGAGTCACTGTTTGGCGATGACTCGAATGGTGCCAGTCGCAATAATGGCGGAAGGCCTAAAGGGCTGCCGCCACAATATGCCAGCCTAGAGACCCCCAGTGGTTTTCCTCGCCAGTTGACAAAGGAGGCTCTTGAGGGTCTCAGAGAGCACGTGGATGACCAATCGAAATTACTCGACAGCCAACGCCAGGAGCTTGCTGGGGTAAATGCGCAGCTTCTTGAGCAGAAGCAGCTACAAGAGAAGGCACTTGAATTGCTCGAGCAGGAGCGCGTTGCGACGCTGGAGAGAGAACTATGGAAACATCAAAAGGCCAACGAGGCCTTCCAAAAGGCTCTACGTGAAATCGGAGAGATTATCACCGCTGTGGCTCAGGGAGACCTGACCATGAAAGTGCGGATGAATACGGTGGAGATGGACCCCGAAATCACGACTTTCAAACGTACCATCAACGCCATGATGGATCAACTGCAGATGTTCGCCAGCGAGGTGTCACGAGTAGCCCGCGAGGTCGGAACTGAGGGTTTACTAGGTGGCCAAGCCCGCATTGGCGGGGTTGATGGCACATGGAAGGAATTGACGGACAACGGTACGAATCGACTGCCTTGAACCAAGTAGTAACTTGACAACTAACTTTTCGAAACCAGTCAATGTCATGGCTCAAAACCTCACCGACCAGGGTAAGCAGTCACCCCATTTTCCGGCTAGAGGAGCATTTTTGCTAACACGAACTATAGTGCGAGAAATCGCATCTGTGACCACTGCTGTCGCTCACGGCGATCTAACAAAGAAGATCGAACGTCCCGCCAGGGGAGAAATCTTACAACTCCAGCAGACCATCAATACCATGGTCGACCAACTTCGCACTTTCGCATCAGAGGTAACGCGTGTTGCCAGAGACGTCGGAACTGAGGGAATTCTAGGCGGCCAAGCTGATGTCGGGGGTGTCCAAGGAATGTGGAATGATTTGACCGTCAATGTCAATGCGATGGCTAATAACTTGACGACGCAAGTCCGAGATATCATTAAAGTCACAACAGCAGTAGCGAAAGGTGATCTTACCCAGAAGGTTCAAGCCAATTGCCGAGGCGAGATCTTCGAGTTAAAGTCAACCATCAATTCGATGGTTGACCAGCTGCAACAATTCGCCCGCGAAGTCACAAAGATTGCCAGAGAAGTCGGAACGGAGGGTCGCCTTGGAGGCCAGGCCACAGTCCACGACGTCGAAGGCACTTGGAGGGATCTGACCGAGAACGTCAACGGCATGGCAATGAATCTGACGACTCAGGTGCGAGAAATTGCTAAGGTCACCACAGCCGTCGCCAAGGGAGATCTCACCAAGAAGATTGGGGTCGAAGTGAAGGGAGAAATCTTGGAGATGAAGAACACCATCAACCAGATGGTTGATCGTTTGAGCACGTTTGCATTCGAAGTCAGCAAGGTTGCTCGTGAAGTCGGTACTGATGGAACCCTGGGTGGTCAAGCCCAGGTTGCCAATGTGGAAGGTAAATGGAAGGATCTCACGGAGAACGTCAATACCATGGCCTCCAATTTGACAGTTCAGGTAAGGAACCGCAACCCATTGACCCCCCCCCCCCCCTCATTAGCTAAACTCGCTGGCTTGTGGAGGGTGGTCTGGGACATTTGCTTGTATTATTGCTAACTTGTCCAAAGGTGAGGAGTATATCTGCTGTGACGCAAGCGATTGCCAACGGCGATATGACTCAGACGATTGAGGTAGAGGCAAACGGTGAGATTCAAGTTCTCAAAGAGACAATCAACAACATGGTGGAGCGTCTCTCAAGCTTCTGTTATGAGGTTCAACGCGTCGCCAAGGATGTGGGCGTCGATGGAAAGATGGGCGCTCAAGCAGACATTGCTGGTTTGGACGGTCGCTGGAAAGAGATTACAACTGATGTCAACACTATGGCCGCCAACCTCACAACCCAAGTCCGAGCGTTCTCCGACATTACCAACCTGGCTACCGACGGCGATTTCACCAAGCTTGTCGACGTAGAAGCCTCAGGTGAAATGGACGAGCTCAAGCGAAAGATCAACCAAATGATTTCGAACCTCAGAGACAGTATTCAAAGGAACACGCAGGCTCGAGAAGCTGCCGAATTGGCCAACAAAACCAAATCTGAATTCCTCGCCAACATGTCCCATGAAATCCGTACACCAATGAACGGAATCATTGGCATGACGCAACTCACTTTGGACACCGATCTCACTCAATATCAACGTGAGATGCTTAATATTGTTAACAACTTAGCAAACAGTCTATTGACTATCATCGACGATATCCTGGATCTGTCCAAGATTGAAGCCAGACGGATGGTCATTGAGGAGATTCCATACACCTTGCGTGGAACTGTGTTCAACGCTCTCAAGACTCTGACCGTCAAGGCGAACGAGAAGTTCCTTGACCTCACATACAAGGTCGACAGCTCTGTCCCGGATTACGTTATTGGTGACTCTTTCCGTCTAAGACAGATCATTTTGAACCTGGTGGGGAATGCGATTAAATTCACAGAACATGGCGAGGTCAGCCTCACCATCAAGGAGCGAGCTGAAAAGCCATCGAATCTTGCCGAAGGCGAATACGCCGTTGAGTTTGTAGTCGAGGATACTGGTATCGGGATTGCTAAAGACAAACTGGACCTCATCTTCGACACATTCCAGCAGGCGGACGGCTCCATGACCCGCAAGTTTGGCGGTACCGGACTTGGTCTTTCCATCTCAAAGCGGCTGGTGAATTTGATGGGAGGTGACCTTTGGGTTAACAGCGAAGCGGGCAAGGGAAGTGCTTTCCATTTTACTTGCCGGGTGAAATTGGCAGCCGATGATGCAAAGGCGATCTCGAGACACCTTCAGCCCTACCACGGACATCAGGTACTGTACGTGGATAACGCGCAATCTGAGTCTCGAACCAAGATTATGGAGATGTTGAACCAGATTGGCCTTCGGCCTGTGGTTGTCGACTCGGAGAAGAGCCTGGCCCTCACTGGTCTCAAGACCGGCGGCGTTCTCCCATATGATGCTATTCTCGTGGACTCAATCGTCACCGCACGAAGACTGAGGGCAGTGGACGATTTCAAGTATCTTCCCATAGTGTTGTTGGCACCGATCGTTCATGTTAGTCTGAAATCCTGCCTGGATCTCGGCATCACCTCATATATGACGATGCCCTGCAAACTGATTGATTTGGGTAACGGCATGGTTCCCGCTTTGGAGAACCGGGCAACACCCTCGCTCGCCGATAACACCAAGTCGTTCGAGATTCTGCTCGCCGAAGACAACACTGTCAATCAAAAGTTCGCCGTCAAGATCCTGGAGAAGTATCACCATGTGGTGACCGTCGTTGGCAATGGATGGGAAGCTGTCGAGGCAATCAAAGAAAGGAAGTTTGATGTAATTTTGATGGATGTTCAAATGCCCATCATGGTGAGTAGAGTCCAGGCCCAGTCAACACTGGCATGTACTTGTTCCATGTATCAGTAAACTAACGTGTGCTTTCAAACAGGGCGGATTCGAAGCCACCGCGAAGATTCGAGAATATGAACGCGGGATGGGCACGCATAGAACCCCTATCATTGCGTTGACAGCACACGCCATGATGGGTGATCGTGAGAAGTGTATCCAGGCGCAAATGGACGAGTACTTGTCAAAACCCCTGCAACAGAACCAGCTCATCCAGACAATCCTGAAATGCGCCACGCTTGGTGGCCCATTGCTGGAGCAGAATAGGGAGCGGGAGCTAGCTCTCCAGGCAGAGGTAAAGTCTTCGACCCATAAAGATGATGGCCAGGGTATTTTGCGCCCATCACTGGAGCCCCGAGCATTCTCAACCCACGATGGACTGGGAAGCAAGATGGCAGAAAGCCCGGTCTTGGTGACAGAAGATCAGGAGGAACTTGTCAACGGACGGCAAAAGCTGAATGAAATGCGAAGTCTTACGAATTAAGCCTGGTCTGCATTTTTCTCTCAATATCATGACGGATTATCTTTTAGGAAATGGTTCACTTGATTCCCCATCTTCTCTGTTGTTGCCCCAGTGCTTAGGAGCGAGAGAAGGGTCCTTAGTCATGGCTTAGGACAGATGCTTTTTATGCGGATTTACTTGTGTTTTTCTTTTGGACAGTGGGTAAAGCACTGGAGCCCATACCCATTATTCTGGATGGCGGTGTTATGAGGCAAGGGTTGGTGACGACACGATCATCACTAGGGGCGAGATGGCTTTGTTTATACGTACTCTACTGCATTCTTGTATTTTATCTCGGGTGTTTTGTTTTTTTATCTCTTGTTCATGGGATTTGGTTGACGGTTCTTTCCGATCGTGCTTCCAAGCATAGCTCATTGCGGGACATAATGGTCCCTTCAAGCGTTTGGCTTTCCATTGGACCTTTTTTTTGGAATTGGCAACATGGACGAATAGCATAGCAAGGATACCGATTTTCTTCTTCTCTATTTTCACTTTCCCGTTCCCACCTCGCTGGACATTGTTATTTTCCCTAGTTCCTTATGGAATACCTCCTACGCTTTCCGAACAGATTGGACAACACGGCGACTTGGCCGTGTTTGGTGGTCGGGGACTGTCGCTTCGATTATTTATTGCTCGATCAGAACTCGCGCTTTGCTATGATTATGAGACGAATATACTTTTTTAAAGATGCTAGCTGAGCAGAGATACAACATGTCCCTGGATATGATGGGCGCCCAAGGACTACCCGGTATAATTTCAAGTCTATCTAAGTATTCATATAATGTCATGCCTATTCCCTCTGCTAACTGGGGTAGGGTATTTCAGAAATTGCGAGGCAGATTCTACTGGTAACCCACGGGGAAGAAATCCAATCATGAAAAAGGCGTCCTGGAAGATCTAAGATTTCTTCTCATTCTGAGGGTCCTCCTTGGATTCCTGGGCAGGCTTCTCCTTCTCCTCAGAGGTCTCCTTGGGAGCTTTCCCGGCATCGGAGTCCTTCCCGCCTTCCCCCGTAGCCTCGGCGGGCTCGTATGCGGCGAGGAGGGCGTCCAGCTTGGACTCGAGGTTGCTTAGATTCGCCTCGAGAGCGGTGGCCGCCTGTTCACCCCTAAAAAGGGGGGTTTATACCCCCGGAATGTCAACATAACTCTATAACACCGGCACGCCGGGAAGGATATTCGGGCGTCCCCCAACAGTCGTTGGCTGGACCTTTCGTGTTTGCCCTCGCTTAAGGACCGGCGGGAATGGTAACGAAGGGCATGGGCAAGGGGTGATGTGTCAAGGCTTGAGAAGGCGGGATGGGGTTCATGCTCATAAAATATATTCGCCTGCCCCCCCCCCCCCCGCATCCGTGTATATAGGATTGCGAAGTATATCCGATCACAGCACCAACACCGGCAAGAAGCCTACTCCCGCGGTGATCAGTGTAGCGTTTCCCCCGTTAGGATGAGCTCCTGACAAGGTGAGAAAGCTTAGCCGAGCTGAGCGCAGGCTCGAGCCCAGCGCCCTTGGGTAAATCAGCTGATGAGGGGAGGGTGGGACTATACAGTGGAGGACGTGCAAGCACAAAAGGGAAGCACTCTTCGCGACGCTTGTGAAAGAGCAGCCTGTAGGGAGAGAGTGTGTGGATGGGGGTGGGCGCATGGCTTCAGGAGAATAGAAGAAGGAGGTCAAGTTATGTACCTCAGAAGTTCCTGGTAGGCCTAGACCGTCCAGTCAGTTATGGGGGAGGGGCAAAGTGACGTTTGGGGACCCAGAACGATGAACAAACAGCCTCATTGACTATGGGAGAGGGGAGCTCTTCGTGTGGGCGGCTTACCTGGGCTAGGTCATTGGCATCGCCCTGGGCCTTGGAAGGCCTGGATTGAGCAGGGTCCTCTCTTGGGGCTGCCATGGGGACAGGATGCGGACGAGGATATATGGAACCCTGGGATGAGCTATTTGCGCTTGCGTCCCTCGATGCGGCGGCCGGAAGCAGAGAGTGCGTGCAGTCTCAGTTAAGTGTATGCGGTGTGATAGGGGACTGGGGGTTTACAGTAGCATAGACGGGCGGGAATTGGCCAAGCAGGTTTTCGGAAGATGGACAATTCCAGATTGTCGATGCCTCGTGAATGCGAAATGGGGAAATAGGGAGTTTCGGATTATGGAGGCGTTGAGGGGTGGAGCGCTATGGAGGGGTTCCGGTCCAACAGCAGGGCGCTGCCAGGTCACTGAGACCCCTGGAGGTTCCGGGCAGTGCAGGGTACCCGCCTAAACCCCACTGGGGCTGACTACTTACTGGGGGCGCTGCGAGAGGGCCACAACCGTCCATCGCGTTCCGCCCAGAATTAGTACATCCTGACTTATGGCCTGGTGCTGCGTCTTGTATGGGAGAACGGAGCTTGGCACATGAACCAGCGCATGCCCTCGGCATTTGAAGATGCGGTGCTTTTCCCAGGGAGGATTCTTGTCGTAAAGAATGCCAGATGTGTAAGCGATTGGGCAGAGCCTAAGATAGGCCTTTGGGCCCAGGAATGCGCCTGTGATGATGGCTTCTTTGGACGGGTACCTAGGTATGATGAGTAAATACCCTCTACGACCATATATTTACAATCCACTCAAAACGGACATATGGCGACCCCGGACGAACACGACTTGCTGCTTCTGCAGGAGCAAGCGAAAGGCTCCGTGTAAGTGGAGGTTCTTCATGCAACGCCATGCATTCTTGCTGCTGTTCCAGGTCTATGAAATCCAACAATCAATCGTATGGCTCAAGATTCGTCAAAACAGACCAATGAAGTTGGGTGTCGGCGTCTCTAGCGCGTGTCTGGTGTGTATTATGTGTGTGGGTGGTGCGCGCGTTCTGCCATCTTCCCCTCGGTGGCGCTACGGGCTACTGGCGATCACAAAATACGTTAAGCATCACGATGTAGTACCATCGAAATTTCCTATCTTAGAAGCCGATTGGCCGCAACATAGGTAGTGGGAGGCTGAAATCTATCGCCTGACGGGTTAGAATTGGATTCCGGCACACACTCAAAACATACGCCTCGCACGAAGAAGCGAATGGCTTTATGGGTGATCGAGATCAGCACGTAGACCGTGGTGTGATGCCAAAATATCCTCCCTAGAATGGGCCATGAACGATTCAGTCCGATCCATTGACTCCATACGCTCACATGGTTTCTGTGGCCTAAATGGCACAAGTGAACTTCCATGCTCCTCGTGGTGAGCTGATGCGAAAGTGTGATCCCGGTCAGCTCTAGTCGTCCCGCTTACCCCGGCGAACATTGGGAATATGAGCACCGACGGATGCTCCATGATCGATCATAAACAACCGCTCTGTTCTTGATGGCTCAGGCAATCGACAATGTGAAAACCATTCTGCCCTGCCTCGAAGATGCAGTCGTGCTTGGGCAATGGTGCGAGGTGAGTTCATAAAACTGGAGGCCAAGACGAAGCGGGCGAGACGAAAGAGAATAAGCTCCGGCCAATGACTCGGCAGGGAGCTTTCCATTGGGTCCCACAAACAACGACGGCCGGGTGTGGAGCCGGACCAGGAGGGACGTGCCTCAGTAACACAACACTGGAGTCAGAGAAGACGTCGCCCATTGCCATCGGAAGATATGCTTCTGGCAACAGCTAACCAGCCAACCAACTAGTGCTCGCGGATGGTCGTCGCTGGCCGGCGGCGCAATGGGCTTTACGCAAGGTCAGGGGGCAACCCATGACAACCTAAACAAAGCGATAGCAAAATATGCATGCTCTCCGCCTTCGCGATCCGCAAGCCAAAAGCTCGATCCCCAACTGACAGCCCTCACTAAGGCGATCAGGCACCCCACGGTAGGGGGGCGTCGTTAGCACCCCGACCAGCCAATCTGGTGGGCCAAGGTTGCAGGCTGCCACACGTCCTATACACCATGCAGTATAACGTATAATAATTGGTGCTCGACGCTGACGAGATCGAGATCCTCACCTCATGTACTGCACAGTCTGCACTGCTCGCGCTCTCTCTCAACGCAACACACTCGCTGCCTCGCACGTGCAAGATCACGCACGCGCGCCTCCTCGCACACTGTTATTCCACGGGCCTGCTCGCCAGGCCTCCGACCTCTCACAGCACATGGTGCAATTGAATACATACATACAGCCCTCTCCCGAGACTCGCATGCGCATCGCTACCTAGAAGCATCGAGGCACTGTTCCCCCGGCGTGCATGTGGCGTCTGAAGTTAGCACAGAGTGGCCCAGGCTACTGGATGATATCAGGACTAAAGGCTTCATCTCGATTGACACTCGATCATCGAACTGATGGAAGAAGGGGGGTGAGACCGCTCGTGGTATGCAGCGTCATAACATCCACGTCCCTCCAGCAGCCGATTACCTTCCCGTCATTCTTAGCGACCGGCAAGAGGGGAGGAGGAAACCCACGGTAAGCCACGAACCCCAACCTCCGGACGGAACCAAGAGCAGAGGCGCAAGCCTGTATCGCCAGGCTGTCTCAGTGCACCGGCCGATGATGCCTGGCTGGCGAAACCGTATTAGACGTGGAGTGCAAACCTACCAAATGGTCATGACGAGCCGTTTGACAGCTAGACGGTGGAACACGGTGGGATAGCATAACCTTCTGGTTGCGTCTCGCCTGTTAGATGAGGCATGGCGCCACACCCACCCAGCGATGAGAAGACGTAGGTACAAGCGAGCTGCTGGCCTTTATACAGACGGGCAGCCACCGCGGAGGCATATCGTAGGTACCAGCTACGCGGGCTAGCCGATCAGCGAACATGAACATGCGTTTTCTTCGATCCTTCCTTCCCTCGCACTAAAACACTAGCAGGGAAGGTCGGTGCAACCTTGAACAATGAACCAGAGAAGGCGCGAAGGCCATGGTGTAGTTGAGTCGTTGGCGCCTGCCCGCTCCAGCGATCAATCGCAGTATCTCGACTGGCCTCCATACCAACTGCCCCAATGGATGGATGCTTCCCCATGGATCGGTTATCTGCCTCCAAAAGGACGATGGAGGCGAAACCAGGCGGCCTCTCTTACTCGGAGCCATCTCGATGGCCTTCCACAGCACACAGGGGAGCTGCCTGTCGTCCAACAGAACAGCCCTGCGCTCGACGTTGGACGGCGGTCCCAATACGGCAATCATGGTGCTGACCCAGAACCGCAACGCCATCCATCGACTTCTGCAAGCCAATCTCTGTTTTTTGCCATGCTCGCGGCCAGAGACCCCCATGCGTCTGGGTATGGGTTTGCCCATTACGTAGGAATGTCAAGGTCGAAGTTTGCCAGCCCCACCGCGCCCAGAAACATCCCAATCACACAAGCCCATGATTGATCGCCATCTTTTCTTTCATTGTCTCACACCCCCCCTCCCTCGCTCGAGCTTCTCTTGCGCTCCGCCGACTCCCAACGACTAGCCCACGTCGAGCTAGCATCATGGATCAGGCCATCCATCTACTGTTTCTTCTACGTACCTCCCCAAACCATGCATGCCTCATGGTCCTTGGACACGGGTTATTACGTAGCAACAGCTAGCTCCCAGGCACGGGAAAGAGGAGCTTGGAGGTGGCACACTCCCTGTAGCCTGCAATTGGCAAAATGCACTGTCGAAGAGGAGCCCACCCTCCATCGTCCAGCCAGCTCCAGATCGGCCACAAGCCCATCCTCCAAATTATTTATTCACTTGGTCGTTGCTATCTGGAGCCAACTTCTGGAACTCGCTGCGGATTCCCGAGGAAGCCCAGGAAGCAAGCTTTCCTTTCCATCCACCAACCGCCCCTCTCGCCATTCTCTGTCTCAGTATTCTTTGGATATCGCGACCCCGACTAGCAGAGGTGCCAACAGGGGGACATGTGCAATTTGACGTCTGTGACACAGTGAAAACGACCAGCCTGGGAAAGCCACCGCTTCGTTCGTCCCAGTTCCATCTTACCACATAATACGACATCCGTCTAGCTCTGGTCAAGGTTCGTCTTGCTTGCGAGTCTGATCTCCAGCCCATCCTCTAGGGCATGCTCTTCGGGTTTGCTCGGCCTCATTCGACAAACAAACACTTGTGAGCCGCTGGCTGCTGCAGCGAACCTTCGGGGTCCCATCGATCTGGGAATTCCTTTTTTAGTCTTCAAAGTCCGCCTTTCTCCTTCACTCGATCGGATTTGCCTCAGATCTGCCTACCAGTGGCTGGAAAACCCCTCTCGTGCTTGAATCGAGATGCACAAATCGGTCACCACCTTTTAACATCAGCCTCTTCTTTCCCCTGAGATTCTCCTTCTTCCACCCTCTAGCAAGCATCATTCCTACAGAAGACATCTATTCCTTCGATCGGCCCTCCAACTTGCCTACCAAACTGCCCTGGGCTTATTCTGTACTGTAAGTGTCGTGATCTACCCCAGTCTTAGTCGTTTGGGAGCATCTCCTCCGCACTCTACCCTCCTCTCCCCTGAACGAGTGAGCCCCTCTCCCACCGAAGCAGGCAATAGGCAAGGCCGGCAAACAAAACCTACATATATCGATTACATCCGGGTCTCTCGCTACAAAAATTCCTCTGCATCACTTTTCGAAGCTTCCATCTTCCCTAGATGCCCTCCGTTCTCGTTTCTGCAATCACATAAGGCTGCGCCGTTCCACCATGGCCACTTCAGGCCATCCCCGTCGGCTGCATCTGAACTCGGTGACGTATGTAGCCAGGTCCGAGCTGGCGGCCGCCGATCACTTACACCACTACAACCCTCGCATAACCTCCTTGCACACTTTCAACACCTCAACCTCGATGCTTGCACTCCTCCCCAAACTCTTCATGGTTGCCGCTTCCACGGGCACTCACTCGTTTTCCTTTTCATAAGAAGCTGTGTGTGCTTGGCCTTTCACAAAACATCCACTTTACCATCTCAGTCTCTCACTGATACTAACATTTGTTCGTGCCAGACATCATCATCAGAGCAGCCTGACAGGTAACCTTGGACAGTGTGTCACCGATGGTTCCAACGCCTGCTATCCCACAAACTCAATTACATACCCCTTGTCGTGGCCCTTGAGTGGCCTGATGGCGCATCACCTTGATAGCACGTTCAGGGAACTGGGCCTCGCTCAGTATCTCGATGCATTTGTTGACCAAGGATTCGACACATGGGATACCATTCTTGATATCCAAGAATCCGACCTGTAGGTCACGATGCTGTTTGGTTGACTCTAAGTCATGATGGGTCTTGGCTAACTCTTGCCACAGAGACGCTTTGGGAGTGAAGTTAGGGCACAGAAGGGTACGTTAGGACTGAACATTTGGCCATTCCTTCGTATATTAATACCCTATTACAGAAATTACAACGGAGAATCGCAAATGCACGAGGCATTGCCCCCAGTGTTTCCCTGGCTTCCACAAAGGCTAGCTCCGATGAAGCAAAACAAGACGGTACACGGCCAGTTCAAGTCCGCCACGAATGCAACCATGATGGGGCGGGTGTGACAAAGCGGAAGTACCGCCGGCATCCCAAGGTATGCCGCGAATAGTCGATTCTTGCTCGCCTCTGCTAATAACCCTCATAGCCTGACGAAAACGCTCCAGAGCGGCCACCCTCTGCTTACGTGCTCTTCTCAAATAGTATGCGCCTATACCGACCCATCTCAGGGGATAGCACTAACCTGTATTTTCGTATTAGAAATGAGAGAAGATTTGAAAAGCCAGAACCTCACCTTCACGGAAATTGCAAAATTAGTCGGCGAGAATTGGCAATGTTTACCAACCCCTGAAAAGGAATCGTACGAGTCACAGGCAAATGCAGCCAAGGACAAGTACCATCGCGACCTAGCGGCGTACAAGAAGACGCCAGAATACCGAAAATATGCCCAATACTTGCAGGAGTTCAAGGAGAAACAAGCAAAACAGGGCCAGGGTGAGTCATGAACACGCGATGGATCATGACAACAACCAAGCTAATTTTGTAGACACGAAACGATCCAAGCCAGAGCCAGCCAGGCTACGGCATGGTAGTACGAGTAGCAGCGCGACTCCTGCTAGTGGAGTTGCCAGTGGAAGTGGAAGTCTGCGAGGAAGCCGAAGTAGTAGCGAACGGGTGCCAGAACGTGAGCATTCCCCAACACGACAAGAGAGACTGGGCTCAGCGGTATCCACCATTGAACCCTTGCATTCATCTACTGCCCCGGTTTCCCATTCCCGCCGTCTCTCTTTGGACGACCCTGCTATCTCGCCAATGACGACAACCTTTGACACTGGTCTAGGGAGAAGGAGCATGGACGGCGGTTGGAATGAGAGTGCGAGAGTGACTGAGTCTAATAATCAACCACTCCCATCGCTATCTGACATACTGGACGATGGGAGACCTAATTCGATAGGTATCCCGCCTGGCGCTGAAACAAACTCAACTGTGCCAGGATTTCTCCCGATCAATCAGCGTCTCCCTCTGATCGGCGGGTCATCAGCAGGGCTCCGAATCCCACACCTTCATCACGAATCGACATCCAACGGAAGTAGTGTGTCGGGCAGTTCCATCAGCAGCTTTGCGCAATCGACTACGGATGGACCTCTTCCAGCGCCATCATTACTGTCCAACAACAAGCGTTCACCGCCTTTTAGCCAGACGCTCTCGCCAGTACTTGCTACTGCCCCGTCTGCCATCCCGGCGGCGGCGGCCCCCGGGACCATGGCAAGCTACGGTGCGAAATTCCTTCCCAGAGCATAATAAAGAGGGAGGATCTAACTCGAGATAACTAGGCTTACCGATCCCCCTAGCATTACATCAAGTCCGAAAGACAGAGCTCCAGCCGAACGACGGCGACGTCATAATGTCCGCGGCAGGGCTAACATCAGGCTCCCCTTCTAAGAGAGATGGCTTTGATGGAATGAGTGCTTTGCTAAGGGCCGGTGAGATTGTTGGGCAACACACTTCTGGATAAGCCAACGACTCCGCGTCTTTTTTCTTTATTTTTTGTCCTTTTTTTTACACGACATTATTGGTTTGAATTGGGTAATCGGGACGTCCAGATACCGCAGTAGGACATTGGGATGGTTCGCGAATCTGTGCCGGCACAGTGCACAAAATGTTATGGTTATGAGTTCCTACACTTTTGGGGTTCGGTGGCATCAAGTCATGTCGGTGTGGCTAATTACGGCGTTGAGGGCTACATTTGGAAACAAGAAAGGTTGGGTTGCATGAGAATTCTGTTATGATCATAGATACACGTGGCGTTGTCTTGTTTTGTATTATTAGTATTATACGAGCTAAAGTATGACCAAATGAAGAGAAAAACGCAGATTTGGACGAAAAAAAGAGTCTTGCTCGACGTGTTCGTTCCTTTAAGGTTCGTCGTTGTACATGATGAAACTTAATCCAAGCTTAATTAGGGCCTGAGCCTCAGGGGAAACGCAGAAGGAAGGGCGAATGAGCAGCCCTACTGGTCTGACTCGGGCTGATCGAATGGACGGCCATCCAAGGAAAAGGCCGTATGCGAACGGCAGTGCGTCACCCGCTCGAGGGCGATGGATGGGCTGGTTGTGCCTTCGCCAGCGGGACCCGTCTACGTCATAGCGCATCCGATTGGAAGCCCATTGCCTTGATGCGCGCCCAGTCAAGAGGACGATTGGCTGGGTGGGACACGGAGAGTCCCGATGGTCCCTCCCCCACAGTCCTGCAGGTCCGTTTAAGAGGGGGGTGTAGCTTTGTCGGGCACCAAGAAGATTACGGTATGTATGTATTCACCTCAGGTACGATCCAAGGCAAGTGAGGAGAGAAAGTTGGCTCCTACCTAGCTGAAGGTGTCCCGGCTGACCCACCCCTGTATTGCCGGGACCGTTTGACTCAGGGCCCCTGGACGAAGTTCCTGGGAAGAATGGGTAACTAACGAATTGGGAAAACGGTGGCATTGCAGAATATCTACCGACGGCGCTGTCCAACTCCACGCTGCGGCACATCATATCAAAGAAGACAGGGGTGGCAAGAATACAATAATATAAATAGAGACATTAAACGCGTTGCTCATAGGCCTTTGATCCTGAAAGCCTGTCCATAACAAAAAACAATCCCAAGCTACACTAGTCGTCATCACTCCGTGAAGAGATTACTCGTTCATTCTTCCGTGGCCTCGGCCGTCCAGTCCTTTCGGATGTTCAACTCTTCTAGGTCCTCTGTCTTCTCAATCACCAGACCCTTCTCGTTGGCCAGGTGGAGGAGAGAGATGAAGCAGAAGGACGTGGAGATGTCGTTCATCATCTTCGGGGGGTAGGCGGTCTTTAGTCCGTTCATGACTGACGTGAACTTGAGTGAAGGATCGCCCATACCTGGGAGTGGTTCGTCATCTGCTGGCGTGGGTGGTGTCTGAGAAGAAGGAGAAATGTTAGCTTCAACTCAATGCTAGTGAATGTTGCACAAATTCTTACCTCGAGGTCGTCGAAAGCCATTCCGCGCCAAATCTCCTCCTTGAGTCGCCGCACATCAACCTTCTTGGCTACCCTGGCGTATTGGACGTATTCAGGCCGTATCCTTCTTGTCTGCGTGACGAGCGTTGTGCCAAAGGCGCCGGTTATTGCACTGGTCATCTCACCGCCCAGCATGGCCGTGATACCGACTCCCTCAGTAATGCCCACGTCACCGTTGAGGTCTGGGGTGAACTGCTCGCGGGCATCAGCAAACTCCAAGTCATCGTCATCGTCAACACCAGCAAAAGGCAAGCCATCGTCTTGGAAAAAGTTGGCATCATAGTCGCCCTGGGGTGCTACCGTATCGTCATGGTTGTCCAGAGGATCATTTTGGCGTGCCCAGAAGGCCTCGTCCATCTCGCCAGGTTGGAGGCTATCTGCGACAGTTGTCGCAATACCCCGCCCACCAAAGCCAACTTTTCGCTGACCAATTCGTGCCTTGGGCTTGAGGAAAAGACTCAAGAGCGACCTCGAATGGAAATGCTTGTCGTCAGGAAGCAAGTGACGCCCCTTGGATTTCCATTGACTCTTAGGTATGCTAATTGCCGCGTTGTTGGCGGCTTGCGTATAGAGTAGTTCGTGCATGGCCGAATCTGTCGGGGCGTCAAAATCAATCTGGAAGGGCTCCTTCTCTTTTCTTTTCTTGGCCTCAGTGGGCTTGCTGCTGTCCTTGATCTTTCTGATTCTCCAGTGCTCGGCGCTGGTCCAATTCTTTTTGAGCGCTTGATCGAAGAAGCTAAGGATGTCCTCATGTGCCTTCTCGGTCTTGCGCGGGTCAGTCATTGACACGACATACTCGCCCTTGTCAGTGTAGCCATCGGTTTCACCGTCCACGCCTTCCCCGCCAGCATTGAACACACGCATCTGTGGTTCGAGAGCTGCTTCTCGGGCCCAGGCGTCTCCTCCTTCACCAAAAGCAACATTGGCTCCCATATCAAAGGCACCAAGGCCGCCATCGTCATCTTCATCAAAACCAGGGGCCTCTCCGTCGAGAACCATCCCGGAGTTATCTCCGTAGGCTATAGCACCTTCCGGGCCTTCGCTGATGTTGTCTTGTCGCCAATCGTCCAGTGCTTTGAGAAAAGGAATGTCCGTAGAACCCGAGGGGTCACCAATGTCGAAGTTTTTGAGTGATGGGCACACATCAAGTTCATCGAGGCGACTCAGTTCCGGGAAGAACCTCTGCCGCAGAGACACCAAGTCGATTTCAACGGCAGCTTCGTCGTCATCCTCATCCAACTCAGGGACTTCCACTTCTTGGCCGAGCTCCTTTGTTGTGTTCCCCATTTCTGTGTCGTCGGCTCCCTCGTCCAGTACCTCCTCGTGTTGATCGTCTTGCTTCTTTCCGATGGCCGCCTCATCAACTGAGTCGTCGCTGCTGTCAAAAACAATGCGACCCTGCGAATCGATCATAAGATGATTAAGGAGAAGTCCCTTGGCGCCGCCCTCGTCAAAGTCGGCCGAAGCCTTTTTGAATAAAGGGTCGACTGCAAATTCAAGTTCGAGTTTCTTGAGCTGTATCGAACTGAAGGAAGGTGCCAAGGTTGCCTCTGAGGATCGTTGAGACTGTGGCCTTTGTCAGCAATAGAATCGGTGATGGAAAAATACGCGCAAGTTCACCTTCTTCTTGGGCTTCTTCTTCACGTTTCCATCCTCATCAAGTTCCTCTTCACTTTCCTCTCCGTCCTCTTCCCGATCCTTCTTCTTACTGCCGCTATCCGCCAAGCCGCTGAGGAGCTTGCCAGTCTCAGTAGCAACACTATCCACTCGGTTGGTGTAAATCTTGACACAGCCATCGAGGGTGCAGCTGGCCTTTTGGAAGTTGACGCTGTCTCCTTCTTTCAATAGCGACATGTCGTGGAAGTAGTCGATGAGGGCAAAGTTCCAGGAATTTGCGGCGTTGATCTTGTTGTCGGTAGCCATCTTCATCCACTCCTCGAAGTTGGCGAGGATCGGGACACGCTTCATAGGCGTGGTGCCAACGGCGACGGGATCATCTCCATCGTCCATGAAGGTTCCTGCACGCGCTCCCCGTGGCGTCCCCGGCCCCGGGGTGCCATTTTCGAGGTCGTCCAGCCTGGCGCTTGCTTTGCGCGGCGTGGCCGCAGCTCTTATTTCGTTGATCTGCTTCTCTTGCAGAGCCTTCCGCGAGTTTACACGCTTTCCTCTTTCCTGGGCATCGTCGTTGAGGGGGATTCTGGAGGCGGCAGCGATTTCCGGGTCAGTAAATATCGGGCCGGTGGTCTGGGTCGGTGAGGGGCAACGGAATGTGCTCGGCGCGTGGCCAGGCAGGAAACAATTCAATCGGCGGGCAACTACTCACTTGATCGGTGACTTATACGGCGAAGGGGCAGAACCAGACGTCGCCCTGACGCTGCTGGCACGGGGCACTTGAGCGACCCGAGGCATTGTTGTGATGGGTGAATGCGGAGCTCGAGGGAGAGTGAATGTTTTGATGGGATGCAGGCCATGCAGCTAGAGGGCAGCTCTGCGGCAGTTGGTCAGGGATGGTGGGTGTATCCTTCGTGCGTCCGTCGGTGCCGCGCGCGTGTTTGGGCAGGAGGGTTGTGCGGCAGCGGGTTGCGCCGCCAGAAAGTAAACAAACCGCTTCAGTGAGTGTCTAGCGGTGGGGTAGAGGCGCCCAACCGGTTGAGGCCAAACAAACACAAAACACGGCCAGGGGTCGGCCTATTTCCGGTGGAGTGCCAGAGAAGTTGGAACAAAAGCCGTCGTCAGCCTACCCGGGAGTGGGGAGGGGCTTCGGGCCACTCGCCCACTTGCCACATCGTGATGAGCCAGTATCGTGCTGCCTCCCCTGTTCGCACCCCGTCGCCAGCGTGGCTGAGCAGCATGGAAGGTTTGTCCTACTACCGATTAGGCAGGCCTCGCTAGGTTGCAGCTAGTAGTCATTGATTTAGGCCGCTGCCCAGAAATGAAGCCCCCATATTACAACCGCAAGAGCAGCGCATCATTGGCCGAGCCAACTTCTACAGGCCTCCCATAAGGTGTGGCGGAAGCAATCATGATAACGATGGTGCGTACCGTCATGACGCACCAATTCAACGCATTAGCTCTCTGTCACATAATGTAGCATTCGCCTTCGTAGCACTCGGCATTCGTTGTCCAGACATGGTCACTTTCCTTTTATCCTTAATAGTCGTTTACTTCTCTAATCAATCATTCCTATCTCTTTCTTGTTTCTCGTCCATCTCCGCACCGCGCTAGTCCCGTCGAGCAGCGAACGAGCAGACATCCGGAGGCACGCGACATTCCGCCGTTGGTCCCGGATACGAAACGAGCCGAGCAACGACCACAACGATATGCTGCGCCGGTCCATGACATGACAGCCTCTCGGAGAGAATGAACCCCCAGCGCACACGCTTGCGAGGGAGCCGCCTGAGCTCCCGACCTTTCTACACCACCGTTTTCCTCCTGTCGCTGTTCGTCGCATACTCGTTCCTGATCCGAACCGGCCGCGGCACAAACCATAACGGTGTGGACAACGGTCTACTGAGAAAACGGAGCGAGGAACCAGAGTGCAGTGAAGTCCACCAGGCCGCGGACAAGTGCGCTTTCGTAAAGCAGTACTGCGCCGACGACGATGCCGGCCTCATTCCCTACCTCACCCTCTACTTCTGCGGCTTCCACGGTGCCAAGCCCGTGGCCCTGATCATCCTTGTTGGCTGGCTCGGGCTGCTCTTCACTACTATCGGCATTGCAGCGAGTGATTTCTTCAGTGTCAACCTGAGCACGATTGCCACCATCCTGGGACTGAGCGAAAGTCTTGCTGGCGTGACGTTCCTCGCTTTCGGAAATGGCTCGCCCGACGTCTTCAGCACCTTTGCTGCCATGGGTTCTAATAGCGCCAGCATGGCCGTGGGAGAGCTTGTTGGAGCCGCTTGCTTCATTACTGGCGTCGTGGCTGGCTCCATGGCCCTTGTTAGAGAGTTTAGGGTCGATAAGAAGACGTATGCGAGAGATATCTGTTTCTTCATCGTGGCCATCTGCTTCACCATGTACTTTCTCGCCGACGGCCACCTTAGGTTCTGGGAGTGCTGGGTCATGATCGTGTACTACATCATCTATGTCATCACCGTCGTCGGTCAGCACTGGTGGATGTCACAGCGCAAACGCCGCCAGCGACGAGAAGGCGAGGCTCGTAGCCATGTCTACTCGTCAGTGGGGACGTCAATCGATGAGCTGGCGGGGGAACCGTACAGAGATGACCCTGATGACGTAGACCAGTCTTCCCCATCGACTCCAGACATATCAGCGTTGGAGACTGGACCGAGAATAGACATCGACGTCCATCCTTCCGACTCCGTTGACGATGAAGAAGCAGAAGAGCAGGCTGAGGAAGACTTCGAGAGGATGCTAGCAGCAGAGGTGACGAGCAATATGCGAGTTTTGCGTACGAGGAAAAGACGAAGCAACACGATCAACCCGATTCGCCCAAGTCTGGTGGGTGCTTTGGAGTTCAGATCCGCCCTGGCACACTTGCAACGGGAGAGTAACCACAGGCTGTCAACTATTCATGGGCACGGTCGGAGCCACTCGGAAGCGCAGTTCCGTCGGGCGCGAAGTTACACAGGAGAACCCTCCCTGCGTAGCCCAAACACCATCTCTGGCCACAGTGCGCTGCAAGGAGCAAGATCTCGTGCATTATCGTCCGGAAATGCTCCGAACTCGCTGGGTGTGCAACCCCCCCTTTTCGTCCACACAGAGGGATTCGAAGACTCCCCGGATCAGCAAACGCACCCAAGCCAAGCGACTCTGAGCCCGGTCCCAGTGTACACCGTTGGTGGGAGCCTAGCTCCGCCACCTGTACCACCTCCTGGAGGTTCTCTCAGTCCTGGCGGGAACAGTGTCGCCAGCGATGGAACCTCGGCATTCCCAAGCTTCCCGGGCACTCTGAGCCGCCGTAGCAGTCACAGCATATCACCCCCTGGCTCGCCGTTCCCAATATATACTGACTCGCCGGATGCCCTCTCTCCCGGGACTCGAACGCCGCATTTGCATGAACGATCAGACGCAATGTTGCCATCCCCAGGCCTACGCGATCTTCCCTTTGGCGATCTTCCTTCCCCAACAGATCATCCGCGACCAGTCAGTTGGTGGCCATACTGGATGCTTCCTCCGCCACACGTCCTATTTACAACCTTGTTTCCAACGCTCCAAGGCTGGAGGGATAAGACCATTTGGGACAAATTTGTGAGCACCATATCAGTGCCCAGTATTTTCCTTTTAGTCATCACATTGCCTGTCGTGGAGAGTGAATCAACGGAAGACAGCCTAGTGGCTGAAACTCTAATGGACATCGCAAGTGTGCGAGCGACAGAGCCCCCTTCTGGAGTTCCGCCAGTCGTGGTCGAAACAGCGCCCGAGGATGAAGATCGTGAGTGGGAGAGGTATGCCAACAGCAGGCGCAGTCGAGGTCGAAGCAGCAGCTACTTGCCGTCTCGAGACATCTCTCCCCTTAGAATAACTTTCCAGAATGAAGACACTCTGGTTGCTGGACCCAGCACAGAGGGGACCAGGCCCTCAACATCGCTGAGCGGAAAACCGGCTTCGGAGTTCCCCTCCACGAGTAACGCCAACGACGAGTGCCTATCGTGGAACCGCTGGTTGGTGTGTGTTCAGATATTCACTGGGCCGCTCTTCAGCGTTCTCATACTTTGGCTGAATTTCCGTGAAGACATGGATTCGCCCGGGAAGGTGGCTGTAAGGATGGTCTTATTCACACTGCTTGGATCTTCAGTGCTTCTCGCTCTTTTGCTGTCTTTCACGTCTGAGGAGACGCGGCCCAAGTATCACTATGTCCTCTGTTTCATGGGGTTCATCATCAGCATCGCCTGGATCTCAACCATCGCCGGGGAGGTTGTCGGGGTTTTGAAAACATTCGGGATTGTTCTAAACATATCGGAAGCGCTTCTAGGCCTTACCATCTTTGCCGCAGGCAACAGCGTCGGAGATCTCATCGCAGACATCACGGTGGCGCGCCTGGGCTATCCAGTGATGGCATTGTAAGTCTTGGACACCAGCTCCTATCATTACCGCTACAGACTAAGGAACTGGCTAACAACTACGCTAACAGGGCGGCTTGTTTTGGAGGGCCCATGCTGAATATCCTCCTTGGAATTGGAATAGGGGGTGTCATGATGATGATACGGTCGGCATCTCTCGACCACAAAAACCACCCTGATCAGCCCTACCACTATGGGCCATATAATGTCCAGGTCGGGGCGACTCTTTTCATCTCGGCCATCACTCTGCTAGTGACTCTTGTCGGGATGCTCATCGTTGTGCCCATGAACAAGTGGGTTCTGAGTCGCAAGATCGGATGGACCCTGATTGCTCTCTGGGCAGTGAGCACCGTTTTGAACGTTATCATTGAGGTAACCGGCGTTTGGGGGCAGCTGGATTAGCTGCGATGGGTGTGACGATATCTTACCGACCCAATCCACCATAGGCCACCACATACATCATTGAGCCTGGTGAATGAGTAGTCGGATGTGTTTCTGCATCTTTGCATAGCCGTACATATAATAGCACCGTACATAGAGGACACCAAACATGTCTATAGATGCATAAACGTGGTACATTGCAGGCCAGTGTGAGGTTCTGGCCTAGTGTTACATGGAGCCAACCACCAGGGGCCTAGTTGCCACAATAGCCACGTAATTATTCCATGTTCATAGAAATATCCATATGAAATAGCCAATAGGGAATGGTACAACGTATGCCTGAGTAGCGGTCAGCGATGCTTCACACACCACGCCATACATGCCATTAGGAGGGGGAAAAGGAGACTTCAATAGACCTTGACCAGTCGAGAAGAACCCCACCTTCCTTTGTTGGATTACACTCTGTCTGCCCCGCAACCCCTCCTTCTCTGTTGACTACCCTGCACAAGCTATCCTGAGCTTGAACTTGAACCCTCCGACCTTGATCCTGATCTGGGTCCTGACTTGTCTGCACCGTCAATTCCTGATCTGGTTCTCGAGATCCTCATCTTTCTCTTTCTAAAAGGTATGCTCGCTCCAGCAGAATCCATTGACCTGCTCACGGGTTAATACCCAAAGCTAGCAACAGAGCTAACTACAGAGCTAACTTGTCCCCTTCATCAGAAAGCTCTAGCACCCAGTCCACCACAATGGCAGCTCAACCATCCTACAGCCCCTTGAACGAGCGGCCTCTCAAGGACACCATCTGCCTCTTCGACGTCGATGGCACACTCACTCCCGCTCGTCTGGTATGCCCCCAGCCTCCTCACCACCCATTGCCCTTTGCTCTCCACCAGCACCACGCCGCGTTCTAACTCCTCCCTCCCTAAACCAGGGCGCCTCCCCCGAGATCCTCGCCCTCCTCCAGTCCCTCCGCCAAAAGTGCGCCATCGGCTACGTCGGCGGCTCCGACTTCTCCAAGCAAGAAGAGCAGCTCGGCAAGCCCGCGGGCACCCCCGTCACCACCCTCTTCGACTTCTGCTTCGCCGAGAACGGCCTGACCGCCTACAAGCTCGGCCAGGCCCTCCCCTCCAACAGCTTCATCAAGTGGATCGGCGAGGACCAGTATAAAGAGCTCGCAAACTTCGTCCTCCACTACATCGCCGACCTCGACATCCCCGTCAAGCGCGGCACCTTCATCGAGTTCCGCAACGGCATGATCAACATCAGCCCCATCGGCAGGAACGCCTCCACCCAGGAGCGCCAGGAGTTCGAGAAGTACGACAAGGAGGCCAAGGTCCGCGAGACGTTTGTCGCCAAGCTCAAGGAGCGGTTCGGCCACCTCGGTCTCAAGTAAGCCGGTTATCCGCCCTCCTGCGACTTGGATTTCCACTGTCGCAAAATCGCAGAACATGTATTAACAGAACCCGCGTATTAGCTTCTCCATTGGAGGTCAGATCTCCTTTGACGTCTTCCCCGTCGGCTGGGACAAGACCTACTGCCTCCGCCACCTCGAGGAGGACGCCCAGCGGCCTGGCGGCATCACGTACAAGAACATCCACTTCTTCGGCGACAAGACCTTTGAGGGCGGCAACGACTACGAGATCTTCTCCGATGAGAGGACGATTGGTCACTCCGTCAACAACCCCGATGACACCGCTCGCATTGTCAAGGAGACTTTTGGAATTTGATCATCATCTCTATGCGAGAGAATGTCACAAGGATATAGCGCTCGGCGATGCTCCTTCCCCAACCATTAATAGAGAGAGAATGTAGCCGAGGAGAAGAAAAGGGAATAGAGGGAGATCATACCCAGGCTATTTGGTTTAGAGCGATTTATACGACACCCAGAGACGGGTGCGAGAAATCAAAAACAGATAGAAAAAAGATGATACAGCAATAACGAGATCATGAAACGCACTGCCTAATCTACTAGCTGATTAGTTGCCAAGTAATTGTGATTGAATTTAGCCCTCTCAAGCAATGATAAACGCCTGGCTATGTAGAAGTGCCTTATTATAGCAAGTAGATGCAAGCCGGCATTGGCCTGGGTTCTCATCCCGTAATGCGAGCATATCCAAAGAGAAGTATATACAGTATTTCCACACCGTCTGCCTTCCTATACGTCTCCTTCTTATCGGCCATACTCTAGATGAGGAATTATAACCGGTCCATACTTCGTAGGTGCGGTATAGGCGCCGTCCCCCTGGACCACAAAATCTACTGCTAAGCTGAGCTTAGATAGACCTTGCTGTTGTTGACCGTTCAAGGCCGGGTTGTTGCTAAATGGAAGCAGGGCGGCTGCAGCATCTGGGTCATAGGCAACCATCGCCACATAGTTTCTTCTACCCATCAGCTTCTTCAACTCACGCGCAGTGCCGCTGGCGTCACTGTGGAAGATCTCCATCATGTCTTCTTTCGTGTCTGAAACCTCATGCGTCGACTTTTGTCCATTTTGAGGGACATAAAGTGTCTTCTGATTGTGCAGCATCTTTAGCACGTAGTTGCTTTGAGGTGCCGCTACAATGGGGGAGGTGATAATTTGGTACATTGTCTTGTGATCCCCAGGGTGAGTTGGATCATGGACAAGACCTGCACCGGCGGCGCTGACATCTGTTTTGCAAGAGTTAGTACAAACATTGGCATCAATGTGGCAGCTGATGCGACTACTTACCTCCAGAGAGGAATGTCATACGAATACCCTTTTGATGCGAAATGCCCTGAAGGGTTCGAATGAAGTATGTCCTCTCAAGATCCTTGGTCTCATGGGTCCACAAGTCTTTGAGGACTTCTTGAATATCGAGCTCGCCAAACTGATTTAGTACGTTACCCATGAGACCCGTTTTGCCCACGGCTTTCTTCACATGGCTAAAGCCTTGCGCAACCATGTCCTTTTGGCCGACCACGCCTGCGACAGAGCTGGTCACTTTGCCGAGGATGTTGTACGTAGTGTTGACAGCCTTTTTACCCGCAGCCACGGTATTTGCCAAACTTTCGACTGTATCCAGCCTGGGGTACACGAGCGGGACCGACACCATCCAGATACAGTGCTGCACTGAAGGTGGCAGAGTTGCGATTTTGGGGAAGATGCCCTGATACGTTGGGCCTGCCAGAACTCGAGCCTGGCTTCTTTCCGACCTACAATCTGGCCCGACTGCAACGAGGGCTGGGCCGAGGTGTTTGACGAAATGCCAACCGGTTCCAGTTATGGTGAAAACATCACTGTCCGTGCTGACATTGCGCATCAGCTCCGCAGTGGTGTGATGCTGGAAGAGTAGGTACATCTCGGACGCAATCCGCCCAATATTCTTGAATATTGGTGATGATTGCATATAATCAGGGTAGGAACCGTAACCGTCAAAGCTATACGATCCGAGTTAGAAACAAAAACGGAGAAACTTGAAAAGCCTTCTGTACTCACATATCATGATCGTTGATCTGCAGAACATGAGGGATTTGAGCAAAAGCTTCCCGCATGAAGGGCTGGTCAAAATGACTGGTATAGTAGTGAAAGTAGGCATGAGCTACATCCTCCTCATGTCTTGCAGTCCACTGGACATTCTTTCTATTATCTCTGCCACTCAAAGCCAGCCACTGCCTTAAAATAGGCACCTCTTTCCAAAGTCTGTCGCCGTAGATTTGGTCACCAAGACCCAGCTGAACGTGGAAGCCGTTGCAGTCCACGTTCTTTTGCAGGACGTCTTTCCACATGAAACCAACACCGCCGAGCTTAGCTCTGTCGTTCTGTGAGGTGGTACTGGCAAAATCATTACCGGAGTGTGCGATGAACCGCCAGTTAGTTTCATGCCTGCCCGCAACAACGAATTCATATCGAGTACAGCCTAGATGTGATGTGACGGCGTAGGTCCATCGTTCTGTGCCGGCCTCGCTCATCTGTATTTCTATATCATACTTGTGGAAGGACCATCGTTGGTGAGTGAAAATGATGTGTGGTTGCAGTAGTTTAGGATTGGGAGAGAGATCGTGGCTGAGGTGAAGGTGAATCGTGGGAGGCTGAGGCGAATCACTGACAAGGAGAATACTTCCTTGCCACAGGCCTTTCTCTAGATCCATGTTTCCATATCTCAAATACGGGCCAAAGTACACTCCGTTTGTTGGCTGGATCCGGAACATATCGACACCCGCACTCGGAGGCGGCCCAGTAAACCCAATGGTTGATGGTGCCTGAGACTGGGCAACGCTCATGATACTCTCTGCGTAACCGGGAGTATGCGGTGAGAACATGGGAGAAGCCAAGGCTTGCTTCCCACCAAACATGGGCGAGATGAGTGGGTTCCCATACGTTGACGCACCGGGGGAGAGTGGCGCTTGCTCATGAGAAATGGGATTTGGCCCCTTGGGGAACTCCCATTGCGTTGACTGGGTGGCAATATGAATGTAATAGTACTGACCAGAGTTCTGGTCGAGATGGGCCATCCAGCCTTCGGGGAGAGGTGGCGGTGATGCTGGCATTGTCGACAACATAGACGGACCAGCAGCGGCAGGTTGGGGACTTTGAATAGGCTCCTCTGGTCGAGGGTCATTGGCGAAAGCTGGGTGCCCAGGATGCTGGGCAGCAGATGCTGCGGTTGCCAGCACGGGAACGGGTTGTTTTTCAGGGGTTGAGTTGCTCACTGGCTGGGTTGCAACAGCGGCAGCCTGAGCTTGCTGCTGCTGTTGTTGCTGCTGTTGCTGGGGTTGTTGGGCCTGCTGCTGCTGCTGCTGAGGCTGTGACTGTGCCTGTGGTTGGGCATGTAGCTGCTGTTGCTGCTGTGACGATTGACCTTGCTGAGCTTGTTGCTGTTGCTGTTGCTGTTGCTGTTGCGGAGCGGCCTTTTCATTTGGGTAGGATGGTTTACCACCAGGATTGACACTTGAGTAGGCTGGCGGAGGAGAACTTGTACCCAGGCGTTGGAAGTCTTGTTCAAGCACACTGACCTGAAGAGCTGGATTGTCGGGGTTTTGGGATTGCTGTTGCTGAAGCTGGGCTAGCTGCTGCGGAGTAGGCTGCTGCGGTACCAATTGGGCCTGTTGTGGTTGAGGACTTGCAATGGCATTGGAGCCCTGGTAAACTGTTGGCGGTCCTGATGGAGCTTGATCTGGAGTCTCCGTGGGAGTCCATGGCCTCTGAGGCTGTTGTTGTTGGGCAGGCTGACCTCCGTACTGGGCAAGTCTCTGGGACGCAGCAGCACTTTGCATCTGGGATGCTTGTAGGCCGGTAAGAGTGGCAGTTCCAGATATGCCAGATGCCGCATACCGGGCTTCGATACCATCAGCAGGGGCATGGCCGGGCTCAACGATTGGTGTTTCTGGAGGTGGGGGAGAACCGCGACTTGCTCTCGTCGTAGATATCGATGAGGTGGAGGCAAATCGGTTGACACCACCTTCAGATGGTCTTTGCTGACCATTCGTCGCATGTTGCTGTTGTTGCTGTGCGGGATGTGATGCGGCCCCGGGGGGAGGGTAGTATGTTTGGTTCTGATACGTTGGATAGTCAACAGATGATGCTGCTGGTCGTGACTGCTGCTGAAGTGGCCGTGCAAACAGATCTTGGTCGGCGCCTGGGCTCGTTGGTGAGCTAATGGGCGAACTTATTGGCTTCGGCGCAGTTCCTCTTCGCTCTGCTAGTCCCGGCTTCTTATCAGTAGGGCTCTCTATGCGAGGACTCGTGTCGTTATAAGAAGAGCCGTAGGATTGCAGGGGTGTAGGTCGTCGTACGTCGTCATCGACCGGGAACGGGAGCGGTGCAGCAGAGCTCGAGGCGCCAGGAGGTAAAGGAAAGGAAGGGCGAGAGGGAGGGGAGGTGGATGATGGCGGCGCAGGGTAGTGATATGTAGAGTGTTTCTCTACAGGCGTAGGAGACTGAGGTTTGAAGATGCGCAACGGCTCGATGGTTGGGCTATCGGGGTCATTATTGGGCGCATCTTGCTTGAGGAACATTTCCTTGTCTGGGATCCCACGACTGCGCTCCATGATGGCTGGTGTTGGACAGCGTCACAGACGCAGGGTCCAATAGGGCTAGGAGCTCTCAGTGTATGTGTGCGCGTGTGTAAGACTTTGGGGCGCGGGCCGCTTCTGAGGCGGCCAGGAGTCTTTTTTTATCGATTCTATAGCTCGTAGCGTCGGGCCGCTGGGGAAATGTACCAGGGCTGTGTTTGGAGGTTTGGAGAGGAGGAGGGGTGGTCGAGGACCCAGAGCGGGGTTGAGGGACCTGGGAATGGGCCGTGAAGACGGACAGACCGTAAAGACCGCTGTTGAACGACTTGTTCAAGCAAAAAGGAAGCTGTCGCAGACCAAGACGATATGCTGAGAAGAACAGACGGAGCTGGATCAAGATCAAGAGAGCGCCTCTGCCTTAGAAGGCGCAAGGAAATAACAGCTGGGCTACACGGGGGAGGGGGAGGGCCGCTGACGCAGCTCGCCCTCAATGTCGCATGCAGCAAGCAGAGCTTCCTTCCCCAATTGAAATGCAGAAATTGGTAGCACCCATGGCTGGGCGCCTCGGAGGCCCATCTGGCGGGACAGCTGCAGCATCCAGCAAGCTGCGGCGCGAGAGCATGATTGGCTGGAGGGCCCATGGGCCACCTTGCAAGCCTGCTTGTTCTAAGCGCCCAGTTCTCGACGGCGACTGACAGGCCTGTTCGAAGCGCCGACTACTGGGGCCAAGAAATTCTGGGTGGGTTCCATGGCT